AAGTAGTGCTTCGTCAAATTGGACGTGGCGAGAGGTGAAAATTCAGTCGGAGGTTGGGTCATAACAAAGGTAGGCACTCTGTGTAAGGGAGTAGCCAAGGAAAAGACAACAACGAGAGCCGGTGCTAATTTATGTGGAGAGTAAGGTCGAAGCTAGGGGTAGCATGCACAACCAAATATGCAGAGCTTGAGATAGTTCGGATGTTCATTGAACTAGGTGTGATAGGGAGTGGCACCATGAAGCGAGGTGGAGGGTAAGCGGTTGATAAGATAGGTGGCGGTGCGGAAAGCGTAAGTCCAAAAGGTGAGGGGAAGGTGAGCATTGTGAAGTAGGGTGAGGCCGATTTCAACGATATGGCGGTGTTTTCGTTCGGCGAGGTCGTTGTGTTGAGGGGTATGTGGAGGTGTTAGAAGGTGTGTAATGCCGTGAGTTTGGAAAAAGGAGCACAACTTTTGAAATTCGCCGCCACCATCGCTATAGACACGACGAATGGTGGTATGAAAATAGTTTTCTATCATCGCTTTGTAGGTGATAAAATTTGATGAACATCAAATTTGCGACGAAGTGGGTATAGCCATGTGTAACAGGAAAAGTGATCAACAATGGCCAAATAATATGAAAAATTATCATGGGAAAGAAGAGGGGAAGGGCCCCAAACATCCATATATAATAAATCAAAAGGGCGAGAACTAGAGAGACTTGAAACAGAGAATGGGAGTTTATGACTCTTATTTAGAGAGCATGATTCAAACTAAGAACATGAGGAAAAAGAGGTGACGGGAAGGGAATGATTACGTATGACTCAAGAGAGAAGGTTAAGATGGGGATGCCCCAATCGTTGGTGCCATGCTTGTGCAGAAGGTTTTTGTGCAGCAGTCAAGGCTAGACGGATGGGTTGGGAGTCAGCCGCCAGCTCGTAGTCATCACCCCTATTCTTTCCGCGTAGCAGGTGCGCCCCCATGGCTAGATCCTTCACAACAAAAAAGTCAGAAAAGAATTCCACAGACACCAAATTAGATTTACATAGTTGAGCAACAGATAGTAATCGACGTTGGATCGTCGGCACACAAAGAACATCATGAAGAGATAAAGAGCGCATAGAAGTAGCTAAGTGAGAGGTGCCAATGTGAGTAATCTTCAGACCTGATCCACGCCAATAAACACTTCGTCGGGACCATTATAATCAGCATACAAGGATAGAGGGCCGAGGTCGGGTGTCATGTGATTGGTGGCTGCTGTGTCAACCAGCCAACCGGAAGCAGCGGCGGAAGAGGAGGTGGTGTGATGAGCCTGGGGACGCCCACGAATGCGGTGGCATTCTTTGGTCGAGTGGCCAGGCTTGTCGCAGAATTGACAAGAAACCTGAGGCCGACCTAGAAGAGAGGGGCCAGAAGGAGCACCTGAATAATATTGGAGGGGGGGGGGAGGTGAGGATGGGCGAGGAGTCTGGGGACTAGACGAGCGCTGGGAATACGCGTCGAAGCCATAAGAGGATACAGGGCTGGAGTTGTCACGTCGAGACCCAGCAGGGGAGCGGGAGGTCTGGCTTGGATGATAGGAGCGACCACGGGACGAGGAGAAGGCTGTTGTGGGATCCGAAGAAGAAGACAGATGAATGGCAGAAAGATCAGCCTCATAATCGACATGGAGATCATGGAGGTCTTCAATTGCGCTAGGTGTGTCACGAGCACGGATGGCGACGGCCAACTGACCGTACTCTTTACGGAGGCTGCAAAGGATGCGGAGAATCATATCTTCATCAAATACTGGAGAATTTATTAGTGCCAGCTCAGTTTCCATTGTTCGTTGGGCCTGGAGGTAAAAGGAGACAAGACGATTGCCCTATTTTTCGCGGCCAAGCTTTTCCTTAAGGTTGATAACGAGCTGGCGGGATTGGCTTGCAAACATCCGCTCCATAATAGTCCAGGCTTGGCGAGAAGAAGCAGCAGCAGAGACATACGGGGAAACGCCAGGAGACATGGAAGCCAAAATAGAGTGGAGGATCAGCTGGTCTTGCCTATACCAACGATGACCATCATCGGCAGGAGCAGTATCCGTCGGTTGAGGATGAGAGCCATCCAGAAACTTGAGAAGATCAAGACCGAGCATAAGAGTGGTGAGTTGAGAGCGCCAGGTGGGGAAATTATCCCCAGTGAGCTTGGTAGGAATCTGGGAGGCGGGATTGAGGGTGATGACAGTATTCGCATCGTCAATGTTGATAACAGACTCACCAATGTTAGCAGCCATAGCGGCGGCAGGTGTAGAAGAGAGGAGGAAGAGAAGCGATTAAGTGGAGAAAAGGGACGTGTGTTTAGGTTTAAGGAGACCAGAACGTCTGCTCTGATACCATGTAAGTGATTGAATGTGGTGATTTTTATTGATTAGGAGAATGATTTAAATACCAACTCTACAACAGAAAGTAGCTACAAGAGTGGAACCACTCGTCTACTAACAAGACTAAATACAAGGATATAAATACAAGAAATAATTAAGATTATTCCTTATCACTAAGTATCTCATCCTTATAATTGTGAGGATTGCTCATGGTTGGATCCATTAACAACAATGGGGTGCCTTCCTTCCACAGTTTTCATGCCTACAGATTCTCGGGAAGTACTTTTCATATGTTATATCGTTATGCCCAATAACGATAAATTTTTTGGGGGGAAAAGGAAGAACAAAGATTGCAAGTAACTTACATATCCCACGAGGTTTATAGCTTGAATGAGGTGATAGTTTTCCTTCCACTCACAATTTCCAGCAACATTATTCCGAAACTAAAGACATTCGATTTAGTGGAGAATGTGTCTTTCATAGCATACTCCAGAGACATATAGCCACTGCATCACATGTATACAATTTGACGATGAAAGTTGCTAAGTCTACGTAGAGTAAAAAAGTGCGGTTAGTCGAGAAGATGGGGGACAAGAGCTTACTATGTTCCTGCAGGCTGTTTGTGTTAGCTTCCAATATATTTGCATTGAAAATGCGTGCCATTCTAAAATTTGAGATCTTTGGATTCAGATTTTTATCGAGTAATATATTACTGACTTTCAAATCCCTAAGTACAATCTTCACTCTTGAGTGTTTGTGAAGGTACAACAAACCTTGAGCTATCTCTTCAATGATACTGAAACGCTTATTCTAGTCTAATAGTGACCTCTTCGATTCATCTATGTAAAGTGAAAAAGATGTACAAACACACATAATATACTTCAGTTCACGTCAAATAGAAAAGCAAGATGCTCTCAATTTTAAACATTAACGGGAAAAAATTCCAACTTACCAAAAATGAAAAAGTCCAAACTCTTGTTAGGCATATATTCATACACCAACATCTTTTCTTCATCATGAATGCAACAACCCAATAACGCTAACGAGATTCCTATGTTGCAGCTTGGCTATGAGGATGAGCTCATTCCTAAACTCAACCAGCCCTTGATATGATTTCTTAGATAATTTCTTCACAGCCACTTCCTGCCTCCCCTGTAATAGGGGTGGAGGTACATAGAGTGTAGGGTGGGCCCCGGCCCACCCCGGATTAGTCTCGGCCCCTAGGACCCTAAGGATATTCTTTTAAAATTTCCATAAGTACAATTCAGCTGTACATTGTCATGTAATAGTTATATAGTCTATTGGTAGATAAGCTTCATTTTTATTGAGAAGCATAGAGGTTCGATCCACAACTACCTCACATTTTGCTTTAGCCACTCCTTTTTTGTTCTTTTTTATTCTTTTATTACTTTAATCCAACTTCATATGAAAAAGTCAACCTCTATTTAATTTTCATTTGGTGATTTTTCTAATTAAAATTCTGATCATTCTCCTTTATAGAAACTATATAATTCAGGGATTAACAGAGATATGATTGTCAAAGGAATTAAAATGATGAATATCTTGTTAATGATTTAGTTATTTATATTAAATGAAAGATAGCTAAAAATTTTAGTTTAGATGCTATTTTGAACAATTATCTCAAAGAACGTTGTGTACTTTTAAAATAATTATTTTAGTTTTATTTATATTTAAATATTTTTCGGCCCACTCAGTTACGAAATCCTGGCTCTGCCCCTGCCCGGTAGTATCCCCTGAAACATCAAACAACGTTAACCCGTGTTCAAAAGCCCTAGTCGGATCAACGTTTTCGTGTCTCGTGTATAGTTTTCCTTTTAGTGGATGGCTAGACGGATTTTTACCTTGTATAAAGGTCCAAAACCTCCCTATCCGAGTTTATTCCGCAAAGGGAAGTTCTTTGTAGCAGTCACGATGGATGCGATGTTGTAGATTGTCAGATCATGGTCGGGATCGTCATCTTCCTCAATCTCGTCGCCTCCCTTAGTTTTCGTGTCCTTAGATGCCATCATCAACTCTGCCAGAAGTCTCTCTGTTCATATATGGCGATATATAAACAGAGTGCATAACAAGCAAGCAAGCAAGCGTAGAAACGTAGAACATACATGAAACAAACATAACCTTTGAGTTTGCGCCGTCTTCGGTACGAGAAAATTCCAAAATGGCGACCATCATCAGAACGCCTACCGTTGCAACCCCTAGTCATTTTTTGACCCTGTGACATTCAAATATGAAATTCCACATACAAACAAATTGGACCTGTTTGTAAAATTTTAAAAGTTTAGGTACTAAATTGTAAAAATAAATAAATTTGCGCACCAAAACGTAGTTTTACCATCAAATTTTAAGGACTTATTTATAAAAATAAAATTTAGGTACTAAATTGTAAGAAAAAATAATTTTGGGTACCACAACATAATTTGTTAAAAATTAGTGTGTTAAAAATTTAGGTACTCTTTTCCCATTCTTGAATTGTGATAGAAAATCAATTTCGGTGAGAGAAATCAGTGCTTTATTCTTTAGGCAAAATACACTTCCATAGCCATAACTTTGCTCTTTGTGACAAATATTGCCAAATTTGAAAAAATATACAGAAATAACCATTCCATCCATTAATGTAACGGAATCATAACGACGGCTGACTGGACAAACGAAAATATCCTTTAATTTGATCTACGTGGCATGCCATGATGGAAAAAGAAATATCAAATGAAAATATCCCTTTTCCTTTCCCCTTCCACGCAGACAGAGCTAAGGATTCCACCAAAACAAAAAGAGAGAGCAGAGGACGAGAGGATTCCCATCGGAAATGCCCATTGTTTCCGACGAGAGTATTGTCTTCATCTTGCAATTGCGGCGTAGCAAAGAACCTTAAAGTAGAGAGTGTTGCCGCTGCTGAACACGAAACCCCTACAATCTTTTTTTTTTTTATCCGTCGCTTAGACTTTCCCTTCCTGTTCTTCTTCTCGCCGCTGCAAAATCTCCGTCGCCACACCCACCAACTCTTTCCCAAGAAAATGCCTTCTTCAACAACCAGTCGCCGCCGCCAAACCAATCAAACCCTTCTCCCCGAGAACCAGTTGTCAGATCGGACGAATCAATCCCTTTTACAGAACCAGCGACACGCCGTGAACATCTCCACCACAAACTGAACCAGTGAAGGTACCATCGCCACCGCCGCCACCAGAGAATCCACAGTTGGGAGAAACAATCACCACCAGCAATGGATGCTTCTCGCTATGCGGCCGGTATTTGTGGCCAACTCCTCGCGTCGGATCGCCGACGCGAACTCGTAGATCTGCTTCGGGATAGAGTGATGCCGGAGCTCGATTCCCAAGGGGTTGAATTGCAATTGAATTGCCAATATTCACAGCCATGCTTTGATTCATCCTCCTTCCGTCCCCATTCATCCCCGACACCATCGACGGCTACAAACTCAGGAAGTAATTGGCCCCGTCACCGAGGAAATCGAGACAGAAGGGATTGAGAAATCGGACTCCAAAATTCAGACGCTCCTTTTCTCTCCAGATCAATGAAACTCGCTCCTCTGCTGCTTACCCATGACTCATTTCTCTCCCGCTCTTCATTTTCTGCACATCCGCTGCTGCAACAAAAGCTTGAGAGCCCGGAAATCATTCTCCCTCCGTCGGTCGTTGCTACGTCTCCTTGTTGTGTATTGTTGGACCGCGGAGGCGAGCTGGACTATATCGAGTGGTGAATGAACCAAGGCTGATGAGTGCTTTCGTCGATTGAGAGTCGCCGGCTATTTTGAGTTGAGGTAGAATGGAGGTGGGATTTATGCGAAGAGGAAAAGAGATGGTCAATTAGTTTTTTTTAATAAATAATATTTTTTATTTTTAAGTTGACATGGCATGACACGTGGCATGACATGTGGCATGACACGTCGACTAAGAGTTGACATAAAAGCTGACGCGGCGCCATCTCAGCTCGTTGTTGACGGATGTTAACGACATCTCTAACTCCGTTAATAATTTTAACGGAAATGGCTATAATTGTCAAGGTAGTTTCAAATTCGTGGCTATTTCTGTGTATTTTTTCAAATTTGACTATATTTGTCACATAGTGCAAAGTTATGGCTATGAAAGTGTATTTTGCCTATTCTTTACCTAGCTTCATTGTAGCTGTCACAGATGTAGCAGTCGAGATCTGAGTGTTGATCTAACAGCGCAAAGTGCAGCGGGAATGGATTATGAAGATAGGAATAAGCTAGACGAGGAGATAATTTGGGATTTCAAAATGGCAAGCTCCTAATACAAGAGGAAGAACCTTCTTCTTCCCCAGGACCCGCTTGCCAAACAGCTTCTGCACAGTTCTCAGCTCTCATTGAAGAAGAAGACTTGGCTTCCTATTTTGATAAATTGGGCCTGCAATTATTAGAAGATAACCCACTCGATCGGCCCACTCTTAATTGCACTGTTGAATGTCTTTCTGCTGTCTCTTCTTTCACCTGCCAACATGTACTCTGTATATATACTAAGCTTGGAAGGAATGAAAAACAACACTTTTCTCTGGTCCCTTTTGCTTTTGTATAATGGTATCAGAGCAAAATTATCTTATCTAGGGTTTCCTCATCAAACCTTCAAGTTTTTCCAGCTGCTAAGAAATGGCTAGTGATGAAGAAACAAGCCACAAAACCAGCACAAAAGAGTACTTGTTTGCAGATCCCTACTACCTTCATGGTGGTGAAAGTCCAGCTGCTCTCTTAGTTCCTGAAAGGCTGAATCAAAGCAACTATAATGAGTGAGTAAGTACATGCTCAACTCTTTATCATCCAAGAACAAATTACATTTCATAAATGGTTCCCTTCCTATGCCTAGTCGCTCAGATCCCATGTACCAGCCATGGATGAGCTGCAACACCATAGTACTTGGTTGGATTACATTTGCTGTGAGTGACAACATCAGAAAAAGCCTTCTGAACTTCAAGACAGCATCAGAGGCTTGGAAGAATTTAAAGAAACGCTATTCTCAAGGTGACCTCATCAAGATCTCATAATTGCAAGAACAATTGTCTACACTCAAGCAAGGTAATCGCTCAGTTTCAGAGTACCACACTCAGCTTATGACTATTTGGAATGAGTGGCAAAATTATCAACCTCTCCCTGAGTGTGACTGTAGTGGAAAGTTGGACCCAAACTCCAAGGTGATCACTAGCATCAATCGTTATCAAGAAACCAACCTGATTATTTAGTTTTTTTAAGAGGAATCAATGACAACTATGCTCTTGCAAGGACACAAATCCTCATGTGTGATCCTCTACCAGACATGGACACCATATTTTATAGAGTAACACAACTGGATAGGCAGTTACTTACTAACGTGCAGCAAAATGGCACCAAAATTCCATGGCAATGCTTGCACCAGCTCACCTGCAGCAGAACAATAGTCAGTTTGGCAATCAAGGAAATTTTCAATGCATGAATCAATTTGGTGGGCAGCAAAGACCTTACCAAAGAACACATTTTCGATCGCCTAGAGCTCAAGGAAATTTCAGTCAAAGACCACATTTTCGATCAATGCTTCAAAAGGAACGGATGTCCACCTGGTTACACGCCTCGAGCAAACTTCAACACTAACCAGTGAGCTCATGCACATTCAGTCATTGCCAAGTCTCAGAATACTCAGCCTGATTTATTACAAGCTCTGGCAAGTCTGAAACTTACCCGGGAACAGTATTCTCAGCTGCAAGCTTATGTCCATGATACAACCTCCACTTCTCAATCCCACCACCAACAAGTCAGTAACCCCCACCAATTCTGCTACTGCCTTCTTTTCTTCGACCAGCAACCGGTCAGGTACACAAAACCCTTCTCTTCCCTTTCCCAAACCATTCCATTCTCGTGGCCACACTTGGATTCTCGATACCGGAGCCACAAATCATATGATTTGCAATTTCTCTCTTTTTCATCCTTTCAACCCATATCCAATGTCATGATCACTCTTCCCATAGGAATACAAATGCCAGCTACTCACCTAGGCATAGTTCATTTTTCACCAACTTTGACCCTCTTTGAAGTTTTATTTGTGCCAGATTTCACCTTTAACCTCATATCAGTCCATAAACTAACCACAACTATGCCTATATCAATTTCCTTCTTCTCTATATATTGTTATTTGCAGGACATACCTACGGGGAAGAGCATTGGTTCGGCTGAACTCCAAGGTGGCCTCTACCAAATGAAGTAGCAATCTTTTGAAACACCTATCCATCCTAATTCTGCAGTTTTGTCCTCCCATTCGCAAATTCCGAAACACTTTAACATATGGCACTTTCGTTTAGGACATCTATCTCATTCCAAAATCAGTATTTTGAGTCAAATTGATTCGTCAATTGCGACAAACCCAACACAACCTTGTGCTATATATCATTTTGCCAAACAGAGGAAATTACCTTTTGCTTTAAGTATGTCTGTTGCTGATGCTCCTTTTTCCCTAGTGCACATTGACATTTGGGGGCCTAACCCCATTCCTTCTTATGATGGCTTCTCTTACTTTCTTACTCTTGTCGACGATTTCTCTCATCTCACTTGGTTGATGCTCATGAAATCCAAATCTGAAACCCGCAGCCACATTGAAAGCTTTTTGTGCTTATGTTGAGACCCAATTCCATACCAAAATTAGGAGAATTCGAAGCGATAATGGCCAAGAATTCAAGATGACTAGCTTCTTTGCAGCTAAGGGAATTATTCATGAAACTTCTTGTGTGAAGACCCCCAACAAAATAGTAGAGTTGAGCGAAAACACCAGCATATACTCTCGGTTGCTCGGGCACTTAAGTTCCAAGATGCTTTGCCCCTTAGTTTTTGGGGTGATTATGTCCGCCATGCTGTCCACTTGATTAAACGGCTCCCTAATCCTATTATGAATAATGAAAACCCATTCCAGAAACTGCACCTCACCTCACCCAACTATCAAGACCTTAAGGTCTTTGGCTGCCTTGTCTATGCTTCCACTTTACCTTCTCATTGCAACAAATTCACCTCTCAAGCTAGAGAATGTGTTTTCTTGGGTTTCTCTTTCGGTACCAAAGGTTATAAACTCTATGACTTGAACTCCCATTCAAATTTTGTTTCTCGTGACATCATATTTTATGAACACATATTTCCCTTTCAATCTCTTCCCGACCCAGATGCTGACATATCTAAAAATGATTCCCTTTTCCCTATCCAGCCTCTCTTCCATCACCCATTCATCCAACCACACCACCAGATTCTTATGATGTTGACATGGATGAGGAACAACCTTCTTCTTCTTCTCCATCCCCACTCCTTCAAAAATCCAAACGCCCAACAAGACCCCCTGCTTATCTCATCTACTATCATCACAGCTTACTTTCACTTGGAAGAACCAATACTCTTCCCCCAAGGTCTCCACCAAATCATCAAGGTAAACTTTATGATCTTCCAACTGTTCTTTCTTACTCTTCTCTTTCCCCTACCTATCACCACTTTGCCCTTTCTGTGAGTTCCTTCCATGACCCCATTTCCTTTAAAGAAGCCTCCATTCATGCCCACTGGAACAAAGCTATGTAGCGTGAGATTGCTTCCCAGGAACAGAATCAAACCTGGTCCATTGTTGATTTTCCTCCTGGCAAAATTGCTATTGGCTCAAAATGGATTTACCGGACCAAGTTTCTTTATGATGGTACTTTGGAACGCTTCAAAGCACGCATAGTTGCCAAGGGTTACAGCCAACAAGAAGGTTTAGATTATACAGAAACCTTTGCACCAGTTGTTAAGCTCACTTCAGTTCGCACTCTCTTGGTTGTTGCTGCTATTCGTGGATGGCATATTCACCAACTTGATGTAGACAATGCTTTCCTACACGGAGACCTCAATGAAGAGGTTTACGTGCGTCTCCCTCCAGGAATGCAGATGCAATTACCTCCTTCTGATAGGCAGAAGGTATGTCGTCTCCACAAATCCCTTTACATGCTCAAACAGGCTTCTCGCCAATGGTTCGCCAAGCTCTCACAGTCTCTCACCGACATTGGTTACCATCAATGCCTTTCAGATCATTCACTCTTCACCAAAACCACTTCTACAGCTTTCACAGCCATTGTTATCTACGTTGATGATCTTATCTTGGCTGGGGATGATTTGTCTGAAATTGCTAAGGTAAAATCTCATCTGCACTCCCTCTTCTGTATTAAAGACCTTGGAGAGTTGCGTTATTTCTTGGGACTTGAAGTGGCTCACAGCCCCACTAGAATTCATCTCAGTCAACGCAAATATGCTCTTGAAATCCTTCATGAAAATGGGTTCTTTGATTGCAAACCTGCTTCTGCCCCAATGGAACCAAAGACTCACCTTATATATAATGATGGCACCCCACCTACTGATGGTTCTTCTTACCGTCGTTTGATCGGCCAATTGATTTACCTCACCACAACTCGCCCCGACATAAGCTTTGCAACCCAACAGTTGAGCCAATTCCTGGACAATCCCACCACTACCCACCTTCGTGATGCACATCATCTTCTTCGTTACATCAAAGCATCCCCAAGCCAAGGCATTTTCTTCTCTGCGACTTCATCTTTTCAACTCTATGGCTTCACCGATTCAGATTGGGCGGGTTGCCCTGATATTCGACGTTCTACATCTGGTTATTGTATCTTCCTTGGTTCCTCCTTGATCTCATGGAAGTCTAAGAAGCAATCGACCATTACCCGTTCGTCAGCCGAGGCGGAGCATCGCGCCATGGCATTCACGACTTGTGAGATTCAATGGCTCATCTTTCTCCTTCAAGACCTTGGTGTCGTGCACTCTGCTCCATCTTCCTTGTATTGTGATAACCAATCTGCCCTTCACATTGCGGAGAATCCCATATTCCACGAGCGCACTAAGCATATCAAGCTCGATTGCCATCTAATCCGTGAGAAGATCCAACAAGGTATCATCCGAACCGCATACGTCCCTTCTTCTTCCCAATTGGCGGATTTGTTCACAAAACCCCTGGGTCCTTGTTCTTTTTCTGCTCTCTGCTCCAAGCTTGCCTTGCACAATCTGTGTAGTCCAGCTTGCGGGGGAGTAATACGAGAGGAAGAACCTTCTTCTTCCCCAGACCCGCTTGCCAAACAGCTTCTGCACAGTTCTCAGCTTTCATGGAATAAGAAGACTTGGCTTCCTATTTTGATAAATTGGGCCTGCAATTATTAGAAGATAACCCACACCAATAGCCCACTCGATCGGCCCACTCTTAATTGCACTGTTGAATGTCTTTCTGATGTCTCTTCTTTCACCTGCCAACATGTACTTTGTATATATACTAAGCTTGGAAGAAATGAAAGACAACACTTTTCTCTGGTCCCTTCTGATTTTGTATCAGCTCCAACGACGATCTAGTGTTGTATTCAGTGATCGTGGCGAGGAAAGGCGAGGAAACGATGGCGGCGATTTGGTCATGGTTGAAGGGCGTGATTTAGTTGAGTGTGGCTGTCAACCCTCGATGCGGCGTCGTTGCTGGGGGTAGAGGGAGCGAACACGACACTTGTCGTCGTTGAATCCCTCAATCTGGATGAGGCGGCCGTCGGCATGGCGGAGCTGCAAGAGTGTCGGTAGTCGGTTGAGACGGTTGGGGGGCGGAAGCTGTGCCTGTAGGTGTTGGAGTCGTACTCGGCGGGTGGGCGGAGCAGCCGCGTGTGACGACCAGCTCGTGGGTCCTCGTGGGATTTTTTAATTGTTTTTTTTAATTTAATTTAATTTTGAATTTCAAAATATTTGTTGCCACATCAGCAAAATAATATCTAGCTCACTTAAAATAATGGCACGTCAGTTATTATATTTTCGAAAAGATTTGGTTACTATATTGTATTTATCCTATTAAATATGATATTATTTAATTTAGTATTTGGTGTATACTAATACCATCACCATGGCTCTACCACGGTAACCAATCCGATCGTGGTCGCCACCCCTTCATCAGCCTCTCCAATCACTAATGGAGACCGACTGAAGGTGACATCCAGTTACCAAATTTGGACTATTAAACTAATCTTAATGATGAGGACGAAAATATTTTTAATGACATACGTGAAATAATTCAATAATCTTAGTAACCAAACTTACAAATTATCTTATATACTAATACATGAACTTCTATTTAACTCCCATAATAATTTTGTGGTCTAGTTCACATGACTTTTATGCATGTTATAATAGCCAAGTCAACGGTGGGGCATTAACCGGTCTTTCTATACTGAAATGAGTGACATGCATACATGTAACGTGGATAATGTATTTGAGATGGACCGGTAGTAAAGACAATAGTAGTACATATTGTTATGGACCATTCAGTGTTGATATGGTGACCTTATTTACACGACGGATTTCTGGGTAGGTGGTGCTTGAGCTTCTTAGACCACTTGTCGTAAATGCGGGTTGTTTCGGATGGGCAATCGCATAACTTCATTAGTCAACATTGATATCACCTCTGACATTGTTGGCCTGTCATCAACATCGTACTCTGCGCAGAGCAATCCTATGTTGATGTTTCTAAAAATCTTCTTCGTACTTGTGCACGAATCCGTCAGAGCTGAATCCATAAATTCTAATACGGTGCCTTCTTCCCATAGCTTCCATGCCTACTTGAACATTTGAAATAAGGAAAACCAATTGGTTTCAAGAAACATCGTCATCGTTTTTTTCTAATTATTTTTTACTTGAGACTTTTCAAGAAAGAAACAAATAAAGCTAATAACTTACATAACCCACGAGGTTGAGTGGGAGGTCCAGTTGAATGAGTCGTAATTCTTCTTACCACTCATAATCTCTAACAACATAACTCCAAAACTGAAAACATCAGATTTGGTGGAGATAATACCGTGCTTGGCATACTCTGGAGACATGTAACCACTACACAGTGTAGTTTTATATAAGTTGCTAGCAACAAGCGGTGTAAAGAAATTAAATCGTGAAGAGTGATGTACACATTGGGAGATTACTCACAATGTTCCAACCGGTCTGTTTGTCTTAGCTTCTAACACGTTTGTTTGAAAAATGCGTGCCATTCCAAAATCTGAGATCTTTGGGTCGAGATTTTCTTCGAGTAATATGTTACTAACTTTCCAATCTCTATGCACAATTCTAACTCTCGAGTACTTGTGAAGGTACAACAAGCCTTGTGCTATTCCTTCAACGATGGTGAAACGCTTATTCCAATCCAAAAGTAACTTTCTCGATTCATCTATGTCACATATCAAAGAGGCACAAACACACAGACTTCAAACCCGTTATGTGAAACTTCTGCGATAGATAGAAAGAAATAATCACTTAATTATTAATGTGGCAACGTTTATATTTTCCAACTTACCGAAGAGGAACGAATCCAAGCTATTATTGGTCATATATTCGTATACCAACATCTTCTCTTCTTTGTGAATGCAGCAACCTAGAAGTCTGACAAGATTTCTGTGTTGCAACTTAGCTATGAGTATAAGCTCATTTTTTAACTCAACCAAGCCTTGACTTGACTCTTCGACAACCTTTTCACAGCTATTTGTCACCCTTCCGACAGCTTTCCCTGAGACATCAATCTCCCATTCACTCATGTTTACAAGCCTTCTATATTGAACTAAAGTTTTTGAATAAAAGCTACCTTATATACCGGCCCGAACCCTCCTTGTCCAAGTTTGTTTCGCGGGGAAAAGTTATTCGTTGCAGACATGATCAACGCCACACTGTAAATCTTCAAATGATGGCGAGAACGACCAGATCCCTCTCTTTTCCCTCACTTGTTTCGTCAAATTCCATCAATTTTGCCAGCCGTCTCTCTGCACAGGACACGATGATGGTAAGTCTAGACACATTAGCCTAAGACATGATTATGTTAGGTATTTGATTACTAACTGAATCATTTCTATTGTGTATGTAAGGTCTTGCAACAATTTGGCAGATTCTCCTACGAAGGGGTTGCCAAGAGGAATGATCTATGAGACATTCCAAGGGATGGGATTGAGACCTTTTGTATAGTTAGAAGTAATGGAAACTCAATCTTTTCTTTAGGTATTCACTAATTAAAAGGTTCAATGTGGTGGGAACTAATTTATTGTATAAGTAAATTAGTTGTAAGGAGGGTGAGTTACAAAACTCTTAATGACGTTCATTTGGAATGCCACCTATGTGAGCATTAGGAGTGGTGCCGGTCTAACAAAATTAAAGGTCAACTTTTGTATATGCTCATGAAACAGGATCAGCACATGACCATAATAATGCTACCCTTGTTGGTGATTGTGTTTTAGAGAAGAGACAAGTACGTGTGTGGTGTCTCCGGTTCTAGCTTTGGATCTTGACTCCTAGCTTAAGCCCATCATTGATTCGCTATGAACTTTGAGATGCTTAAACTAGGTAAAGGTTCAAATCGAAAAGATACATTTATGTATGCGTTACTTGTTCGAGACAGGTATTCTCGACTCTTGTTGACTAAGTGGAGGATTGTTAGAGTAGTCAAAAGAGTTAAAGGAAATACCACATTGGTGGGAGAAGGAAAGTTCAAGTGGTTTTTAAGTTTGCTTTCCACTTTAGTTTATTGGATAAATTGGTTAGTGCGCTTTAGGAAAAAGTGTGGGCTATTTAATTTGACATATTAAATCGCACTACGCACTTAGCACGTTTGCACGACGCGTTCAGATTTGAATTTTTGGCTAATTAATTACCGAAATTATTTTAATTAATTAATCCGGATAATTATTTGATGTTTGAATTTTGTGAAACGACGTAACCCTTCCGAAGGGAACTGTCGTTTTCACTATAAAAGTCTTCTACAGCCAGACTTGTCGTCCAACGTTGGTTGAAGGAACTCCTGGGGGTGGTTTGCCTAATTCATACCAGCAACAGCGTAGTGGGGGCAAATAACACTCTAGATAGAGTTATTAATCACGCCTTCAATCCGGTTTTCTCCATACCGTTTCCTTGACAGGCGCACATCGGAAAAGGAATTTTGTCTCGGGGCTCCGGAATGATGAGGGCGAATGGGTTACCGAGGAAAGTGGGAAGGCTACGATTGCTACCACCTTTTACCAAAATCTGTTTACTTCGGAGTCCCAGGTTCCTAATATGTCTGATAGGGTGGCAAGTCTCCCCATTTCCCGAACTGTTACCCAGCAAATGAATGCTCAGTTGACGACGGCGGTTTTCCCCGATGAGGTTCGGAGAACGGTCTTTTCAATGGGGTCGAAGCAGGCTTCGGGTTCTGATGGCTTTACCGTCAAATTCTTCAAAGCTTTCTGGGATATTGTGGGCACCTCGGTGATTGATGCAGTTTGTTCATTCTTTCCGACTAGTCGAATGCTGCGGAGTTTTAACCATACTTGGCTTACTTTGATTCCTAAAGTGGATTATGTGGAAACAGTCCGCCAGTTGCGTTCGATTAGTCTCTGTCAATTTGTTTACAAAGTAATAACCAAGATCATGGCTGAACGGCTTGCTGGTTTTCTCCCTCCGATTGTGTCTGAGGGGCATAATGCGTTTATAAGGGACCGGCAAATTGTTGATAACATCCTTCTCGGACATGAGTTAATGCATTATCTAAAAATAAAGAAGCAGGGGACGAAGGGGTACATGGCTCTATAGGTTTACATGGAAAAGGCCTATGATAGAGTCGAATGGCCCTTTCTTCTGGAAGTTTTGGAAAAAATGGGTTTTAACTCTGTTTGGCGAGGATGGATACATGAATGTCTTGGGTCCGCTTCTTTTTCGGTACTGATGAATGGCGCACCCTCGGGTTTTTTCAATTCCTCTCGGGGACTCAGACAGGGAGACCCGTTGTCACCTCTCTTGTTTGTGCTATGCGCGGAGGGGTTTGTGGCCCTTCTTAGGAAGGCGATCTCAGATAAGAAGTTGGAGGGGGTGAAAGTGGCGCCATGTGCTCCTAGGATTTTGCATTTGTTTTTCGCGGATGATTCCTATTTATTCCTGCGAGGTTCTCTTCAGGAGTGCGAGAATTTGATTGTGGTGCTGAATGAGTATGAGGAGTTGAGCGGGCAGCGGGTAAATCTGGAAAAGTTGGCAGTCTGTTATTGTAAGAATGTTGCCTTACCTGATCAAGAATTTTTGGCAGCAATTTTAGGGGTCAGTGCAGTTGGGGTCCATGATAAATATCTGGGGTTACCCACTTTGATTGCCCGCTCCAAAATGGCCACTTTCCGGTATTTAGAAGAGAAATTACTGGCGCGTCTGCAGGGGTGGAAGCAAAAGACTTTGTCCTGGGCGGCAAAGGAGACTCTAATTAATTCAATAGCTTTGGCCTTGCCTCTACATGTAATGTCATGTTTTCGGCTGCCCCTCTCTCTTTGTCGTCTTTTGGATAAGCATGTGCCCCGGTTCTGGTGGGGAGCGGAGGAGGGCCATCCCAAGATTCGGTGGGTGTCCTAGCGTAATCTTTGCAGGAGTAAGCATGATGGGGGTATGTGATTTCGCAGGTTTGAGCATTTTAACCAAGCCCTCTTGGCTAAGATTGGCTGGCGTATTCTCAACGAACCTCAATCCCTCCTTGCTCATGTGTATAAAGGGAAGTACTTTCCTCAAGGAACTTTTTTGTTTGCTACAGTGCGTTCACGCCCTTCTTGGGGATGGCAGAGCATTCTCTTTGGGCGCCAGTTATTGGAGGCAAGGTTAAGATGGCAGATCGGTAATGGCCGTTCGGTCTCCCTTATCCACTCGAACTAGATCACATGGCTTCAGCTGGATCCCCCTTGCTATAATCCCCGAGTCCTGCCAGATGGGAGGGATCCCTTGGTGGCGAGGGTGATTTGGCAAGGGGAAGGGCGTTGGGTGGAGGATA